CATACGTACACACCCATATGCATATGTGCAGGGGCTGTCAAAGTGTCCTCTGTCACCCTCTGCTTTATTCTCTTGGTATGGGGTCTCTTGCTGAGCCCAGAGCTTGGCTAGCAGCCTACAAGCCCAAGCCATTCTGTCTCTGCCCCTCACAGGGCTAGGAATACAGGTCACAGGCACACGTGGCCATGCCTGGCTTTTTCCATGGGTACTGATGACCAGAAGGAACTCAGGTCAAGCATACTTACCCAAGGAAGCTCTTGCTCCTTGGATACTACTTGCTCCCAGAATAACCTGCTCTTTAATTACCCAGTCACACAGGTGAAGACATTCAACAGGAAGGTAAAAACATGTGGCCCCATCCCAGTGAGGGGCAGCAGTGAGCCCAGCATCTACAGTGTGAGCATCATGAGCACACATGCCTCATCTGAAGCATCAGGGTCACCAGTGTTGGATTCCCAGTGGTTGTTTCCAGGCGCCTTCTCTCTGGCTGCAGAGCCTCCCTTCTTTGTTTTCCCTTGCTAGCTTGTTGAATGTTCTCAATCAAAAGCAAGTGCTGGGTTAACAACTGGAAATCTCCCAACTTGAAATGCTCTATGGAAACAGGTGAATCTCCTGAAGACAGTGCCCTCTACCTCTGCTCCGCCACCCTGCCAGCCTCTCTCCACAGCCAGATCATCCTGCAGGCTGTTCCTGTCTGCTGTCACTTACTCCCCATACTGGAAGCCCTTCCCCACAGTCTACCCTGAGAGACCAAGGTCAAGATGTCACCACTCTCCATGTCCCTCAGGACAACACTGTGCCAACCCTCCACGGAACTTCCAAAAAGTCCTTAAGGATTAAGAAGACCAACGGCTCGCCTACACTGGTACTTTCTACAACAGACGGCTCTGCTGGCCCCATGCCATAGCATCATAGGTATACACTGCCGGGCACTTTCCTGCCCATCACTCTCCATGTCATGAAGCCTGTCTACCCCCAAGCCCTCATGACCCTGTGTACGTCCTCCCCAGCTTACATAACACATCACAGATAGAGAGCACTGTGTGACCTGCCCCATGTGACTCTGTGCATAAACACACCGTCCATAACAGTACCATCTGCCCCGCCCCCATGACCCATGGCACTAGATGCATCTGAGAGAGACAAGCCCATTGACCCCAGAGCACATGACCCTTCTGCACTGAACACAAATAAATACAAACTTGTCTGCTCCAGCTCATGCAACTCCATACACTGGATTCACCAGAGGAAGAGAGAAGCATGTGCCCCTGCCCACATGGTCCTGTGTATGAGACACACAGGTAGAAAATGCTGTCTGACTCAGTCCACATGATTCCATGCACTGAACACAGGTAGACAGAGCCATCTGTCCTCACCCACGTGGCCCAGTACACAGTACACATCATAGTCTATCTACAGTCCAGCATCTGATTCCTGGTTTACAGTGGCTAACCACCCCAGTCAACTTGCTTAAACACTCCCCTAATATCTCTAGGCTCCTCAGACATAAAGCATGTCACAATGCAGAGAGCAACACTGTTATACTATGAGGAACTCACACAGGCCAAACAGTGTTCCAACCTAGGTGTGACGGTTATCTGCATGGTCAACTTGATTGGATTTACTGTTAGCTAGGAGACACACATCTCGGCACGACTATAAAGGTGTTTCCATGGAGTTTCAAGCCAACCTGAATGGAGATGGCACTATTCAGTGAGCTGGACTCAATAAAAAGAGAAGTCAAGCTGTTCTATCTGGCATTGTGTCTGTCACAGCAACCAGGAAACTAACAACTACACTATGGCTGAGCACCTCAGGGTAGCCAGAGCTACATCCTCACAGGATCTGCACCAGACTCCAACACCACTCAGACCCTAAGGGACAGAGGACTCTGAGAGACGATGGACAGATGTCCATAAGAAGGGAGCCAGTGGACCCAGACCCCTCACACCTCAGTTAACAAGATTCCTGATACTAGTGAGGAAGTCCCTATGGAAGGGTAGTAAGGCCCAGGACAGGCTGCCAAGGGGGTTCACAAGCCTCCATGAAGAAAGCTGATCATCAAGGGGACAGTGCCACCTACTGGTAGCTGCACCTCAGAACCACAGAGCCACAAGTCAGACAGGCAGGCAAGCAGGCAGGAGTGCCTGCTTCCGAAAGCCTGGTGAGGTATCCAGCTAAAGAGTGCATCCCTGAACTAGTACACAGTCATGTATGTGTATGTGCGTGGCGTGTGCTTGTATGTATGTGTACTTATGCATACGTACATACATGTATGACTATGTGAGCAGGCAAATGTATCACTTCTCCTAAGGAGTCAGAGCCCCAGCACTAACCCCTAACGTTCCCCCATCCCTCCATTACTTCTGCCCTGTCGTGCATCATGTCTAATCTCAGCACTCCCAGGCTTCAGTCACTCTCCTAGCCTTACATAAACAACCTCCCCAAACCTACCCACCAAAAACAAGGGGGGGAAGCCTTGGAACTGAAGAGATGGCTCCGCTGTTAAAAGAACTCACTGCTTTGTTGTTGTTGTTGTTGTCATTGTCGTTGTTGTTACAAGATCCAGATTCAGTTCCCAGCACCCACATGACAGCTCACAACCACCTGTACCTCCAGTTCCAGGAGATCCAACACCCTCTTCTGGCCTCCAGACACCTACACACTGGATGGACATGAACTCACACATGCATGTGCATACACACATATACTAGATAGATAGATAGATAGATAGATAGATAGATAGATAGATAGATAGATAGATAAACAGGTAGACAGACAGAGAGACAGAGATAGGTGGGTGGGTGGATAGATGGATAGATAGATAGACAGATGTTTAAAAAAAAAACAGAAAATCCAAAATCTTCATCATACCAGAGAATCAAGAATATTAATCTTCTCCAAAGTCTAATGCTTTACGTCTTTGTTTCTATTACTCCTATTGTATATGTGAGAGTGTGTATCGGTTCTTGAGTGCTGTGACTCATGTATGAAGTTCAGAGGACAGCTGTGTGGAACTGGTACCCTCCTTGTACCCTTGCCTACAGTCTAGAGATCTACCTGAGGCTGTCTGGCTTGAATGGCAAGCGATTCATCCATGGAGCCAGCTCAGCCCCCATCCACTTGTTAAGGACCAGTTGCCAGGAAATGAACCCAGGGCATCACACATTCTAAATGCACACTCAAGCATATGTTCTAGCGTTCATGGTAAGAGAGCACATTTAATACAGCTGGTCTGTACCCGACACCATCACAGGACAAATGTAGCCACAAGGGTGGAACCCATGTCACCCAGGGTCCAGCCTTGACCCTGGCCTGTACCCAAATCTCTGCCCTTGAGTGCACAGGGAAGGTAAGCAGGTGATAGTGAGCTTCCAAGGTACGAGGCAGCCTCAGCAGGCAAAGCAATGCATGAATGACAGCTATCAGGAGGCCAAGGGGCTGTGAACAAAGAGGCCAGTGCCCTCTGCCTTCCAGGAAAGAGAGTTACCGGTTGAGATGCTTCCTAAGAACATGACCCTGCTGGACCTCACAGGCACGGCTGGCAGAAGCCCTATGCTCCTCCTCAGTTAAGAGAAGAGGGGTCCATGGCAGTGTGGCTCCTAAAGAGGGTCTCCCCACACTCCTCAATAAGAACACGAAGCACATGAAGCACCCACTCCTCTCTCTTGCTTGCTCTCACAACAGCCGAACTCTTGATGGGGCAGTCAGTTGGGGAAATGTGTCCAAAGGGCTCTCAGAGCAGCGAGGGACTGCAACCTGGCCACTGCGACCTGTGCTCCTCCAGACAGGGCAATGGCTCCACAGGCCTGACAGACACTAAGTACCACGCGGCAGGCACCAGACACGCAGGCACACCAGCGTACCAGTGTTCCAACAGAGCCGGTCCAACTGGGTATGAGGGGCCTCTGATCTCCATCACAAGAAAGAAGTCACGGACTTGTCTTGTCTGGGCAGAGTATCCCCAGGGGTAGGAGGGACCCTTGCCGGCAGCTAACAAGCCCAGAAGACAGGAGAAAGCATGCAGCACTGGGCCTGCTGGGCCAGCCTCTGAAAGAAGGGTTCTGCAGATGGGCTGGAGAGGAAGGGACGAGGCACTGTCAAGTAACAGAACGGAAGGCAGTGCTGCCATCAGAAGGTGACGGCTCCAGAGCCAGCAGGGGACAGTGTGATTACGAGACAGCTGAGCTCAGGCAGCCTCCATCTGGCCTTGCTTCTCGGCAGGAAAGACAGCCAGCAAGCCGGAAGTATTACAACAAAGGGCTGCGTGAATCCCACAGGCCTGTGCCCACGCTCCAACACCTAATCCCAACTAATGTACCCTCAATTTCCCCAGTCCTGGAACAGATACAGCCACCATGATGGGTGACATCCAGGCCAAGATTCAGGGGATCACAGCTGTTGATGGCAGCTGACGAGCAACCCAAAACTGAACTACAAATGGGTCAGCATCAGTGAATGGCACCCCACAACAGAGAAGTGTACAGATGGGAGAACAACAGGGAACACCCTGCCCTTGCTATGTGTTGAACATACAGTGCCCAGCAGCTCTGTTCTGTGGTCCATTCTGCATCTCTGCACTCATACCTGACACAGACCAGTCACATGAGACACTCCAAGAGACCCAGTGGGACGGAATCTTCCAGTATGACTGGGTTTTAACTCAGTCAGTCAACCCCCAAAGTTTATCATTACCTAAAAGAAATGATTTTCCCCCAAAACAGTCACTTCCTGATATACACAGGACCCTGTGAGCATGCAGGCCACTGCAACGCCCACTCCCCACCCCCAGTTTTGTGGATAGGCAGATTCTCAACAGTCTTTACAATAAGGCTCAACCTCCCTCTCATGCAACGCATCCATTAAGCCAAAACAAGAACTCCTCATCACAGCAGAAGAAGGAGCCTGCTTGGCCGGTCTTCTGTGGACTCTGAGCCAGGAGGCAGAGGAAAGCACTGGAAGCCAACAGCCAGAGGTAAAGACGGCAGCAGCTCACCTACCTGAGATTCAAGCCCATGGTCTGGTCCAGTTTCTCCCAGCTCTGCAGCTTTGCAAGGAGCCTCTAGAAAGACAATTATAGCCATCAGTGTCTCTTGCCCAGCAACAGTCATGTGAAAGCAAACAATGACAAAGGTACTGGAGTGCCCCATCCTATCTGTGATCAGGTTGGGTGACCTTAGCAGATGAAGGTACATGACTTGCCTAGGCCTTGCTCCTTCCTGCCCCATGGTGCAAGTCCAGTCAAACCAGCCAGGAGCTTCTCTCGGAATGGGTCCTAGACCCATTAGTAGGCCAATTCTATGGTAGGCCAGGACCAAAGATGACTTAGATGCGGGCCAGCCAGCCATGAGGGGAGACAGGGCCATCTATATCAAAGTCTCTTCCCTAGTCCTTTGGGGCTAAAAGGACCATGTGCTTCAGATCAGCCCCATCTTTAGGAGCCAGCACACGGCTGACACTAGGGGCTCACTCATGAGTCTGGGCCCACCAGTCCTGCAGATCCAAAGCTGCAAGATCTCTATGACACAGGGCAACAACAGGCTATCTGAGAGGAGTTCCGGTGAGGAGTCAATAGTGGAGCGGAAGCCAGAGGCCTCCAACCAGCCCAGCGACCCTTTGCAATGAACATTTCCAAGTTAAGATGTACAGACAAAACGCTGTGCTGTGGGACACACTGTGACACACTACAGCTTCCACAACAAGTTTTTTTTCTTTTGGAGGGGAAGCTACAAGGGCAGAGGGCAGATACAAAGGGACACAGAGATGGATGGAATTGGGGTTCATGATATGAAATTCACAAATTCAAGAAAAAAAGTTAAATAAAAATTTTTTAAAAAAGGTTCTCGGCCCACAAGGCATGCCCCATGGCTTTAATCCCAGAACTCTGGAGGTAAAAGCAAGCAGACCTCTGAGAGTCAAAGGCCAGTCTGGTCTATATGGCAAGTTCCAGGCTAGCCAAGAATATATAGTGAGACACTGACTTAAAAAAAAAAAAACTGTGCCCAATTTATATTTTCATATTGTCAGCTTTTCATTTTATGAAGAAGTTTCAAATTTTAGTAAAGTACAAATTATCATGTTATTTTTTTCTTTATAAATAATTGTTAAGTTATAGCTAAATAGTCAATATAAAAACCTAAGCTATTATAAATGTTATTTTGTTTGCTTCTATAAAGGAAGAAAAATGTGCATAGTTTCCTATTTTGATCAGTGATTAATTTGGAGATGACTTTGGTGTAACATTTAAAGTTATGTATGGACTCACTTTTTAACCTAAACAGATATTTAATTTTTGTGAACAATCTGTTGACTGGCCTTTCAACTCTCCCTTGAAAAGCTTTTGGAGATTTGTTTAATAAAAACTAATTAGACTTAAAAAAAACAACCTGTGCCCAGTACTGGCAGTGTAACAAGGGCCAGCAAGACGGTGAAGAAACTCCTACCATGCCTGGAGGCCTGAGCCTGAGCCCTAGGATACACACAGCAGGAGAAAATATTCTTGCAAGTTGTCCTGGGAAGTCCACACAAACACTACAGCATATGCACTCACTTGTTCTTTCCCACATACACACATATATACACATACACCCATACATACACACACACACATACACACACATATCCATTGTGGCACATGGGCTCACTTTTTCTCACATACATACATATACACATATGTATGCACACACATATACACTGTGGCATGTGCAGTCGGTTTTTCTCACATGCATACCTACACATACACACATATATACATTCATACACACACTAAGGCACGTGCACTCACTCTTTCTAGCACACATACACACGCACATACACAAAGATAAAATAAAAACTGTAAAAGGGTGGGGCAGTGCTCAGCTACTAATCTTCCCACCACCCCAGTCACAGGACACTGTTCCCAGCCAGGCCCTGACCACTTTCCACAGATGGGCATGGACTGACCCAGTGTCAACAGCAAGCACACTTCCGTATAGGACTCAAGCTAAGCACCCTAGACCTCAAAAACTGTCAAAGACAAACAAACAAAAAAATCACATCCAAGCGTAATGTAAGTTATGTTGGTGAATGCAATGTGTTGTTTGGGCTCATGAAAGTAGGCTCAAGGACCAAGGTGGCCTTCATTATCTCAAGTCCAACCAGTTTATTTCAAGTTCTGGAACAGATTGGCCCCTGTCCTGCAACAAGGAGAAAAGAGAACTACAAGCTGCTATGACTATGACATTACAAAACCTTAGTGTCTGCCCAGTAGTGGCGCCACCTTTGATCGCAGCACTCAGGAAACAGAGGCAGGTGGATCTCTGAGTTCAAGGCCAGCCTACTCTATAGAGTTGAGTTCCAGGTTAGCCAGGGTACACAGAGAAATTCTGTCTGGGGGACTGGGGGTTGGGGCCTTGGGCCCTTAAGAATAATAGCCAAAGGGGGAGCCATCCAACAAAGGTAACTCTTGCTTATCCATGATATAAACATGCCGGCTGTGGGAGTGTGACACCAAAGCCTCAGCCATGGAGAGACACTGTACCCACAGCTGTCTACCGGGACCCCAG